TACAATATTGATATATTATATAAATCTTATTTAAAAAATTATTCTTGTCAAAATTGTCATTTTGAATTATTATTTTCTTAAAAATAAAATAATCTTTCATTAATAATAATCAGAAATGTCTGTAATGTGTGATTGATCTGTTTGTTATTTAATAATAATTATTATTCATTCCATACATTTATCTGTGACTACAAGTAATGAATCATCCAAATATCTCTCTCTTTCTCTCTAAATTTATCTTATTTGAATTAATTTATTATTATTAATAATCATAGTCATAATTAATTTATTTATTAATTTTGAACTTCTTTATTTGCATTTCATATGAACATAGTTTTTTTGTAAAAATTTTTTTTTATAATAATCATTGCGATGAGATTGATTTGCACAGTGTTATATGTTTATATAATAACGCGTAAAAATATTGGAACACTATCTTATAAGAAAATTTACATTAGCAAAATTTTAAATTATAAAATGAAGAATTATAATTTAATGTTACATCCCATTATAAAAAAAAATTCTCAAACAAACTTATATTTAGAACTTCATGAAATAATAAAATTTTAAGATTTGATTTCATTCTTTTCTCAACAAAAAAAAAAATTGCTTCATATAATTTTTTATACATATTCTATTTATAGAATATATATAAACTTTTATTAAAATCAGATTTTTTGAATTAAATAAATTTTAAAATATAATTTATAAGATATTTATTTTATTAATTATTTTATTTATATATATTTATATATATTTATTTTATATTAATTTATAAGATATTATATTTATTTTTTTTTATATGTATATAATAACATATAATAACATATAATAACATTTATGATCATGTAATAAATTCATAGTTTTTTTCTAGAGGATTTTATGAAAGATTTTTAATATTTTTTTTTTTTACATAGCTATGTTACGCTAGGAATTGCAATTAATATTATATATATGATGAATGCAAAAGGCATAATTATAATTCGAAAAATCAAAATTATAAATTCGATCATATTATTCATTATATTTTTAAATTTATAAAGAAAAGTAAAAAATGTTTGTTTGATGAGTAATCGATTACTTTTAAATGATAAGTAGCTGGTAATATAGATTTTTCTTGTTATTCATATATAATGTTATATCATTACGAATGTTTTGCATATTCATTCGATTTGTTTGAATATCTTCGTAATCTTGTTAACCATGGGAAAATCACACTGAGATGAATATATACTTACATAATGTGGTTGACGTAAAGAAATTATTATTATTTGTTAAAAGAAATTTTTTATTTATATATTTTATTAATCAATTGTATAATATTTATTGTTATTACAATCTTATTTTTAAATTTAATAACTTGGAATAGATTTTATAAACATTTTATATATTGAATGAAAACTAATTTAATATATTAATTAATAATTAACTAAATAAATTAATAACTCATTGTCCAAATTAGAAGAACTTAGAGAAATTTCCAAGATCTTTTAAAAAATTCCGAATATTCGTATCATTAATTAGTCATACATTGAATAAGTTAAACTACATTGTTCAGTAGAGTAATTATAATTGGATAATTGTTGAATAGACTTGTACCATTTTTGACGTCAGATTATACAATAATACAGATTTGACAGTAAAAGAGCAATTAATTACCTAACTAAAGAATTATTGAAAAGATTCTAGATTTTTAACATCTTATTTAGGAATAATAAAATGGAAAAAAGCTAACAAGTTTAAAATATAAAATTCAATTCTTTTTTTTTTTTTAAAGATGTTCTAGTAATAGAGAAATTAATAATAGATAAGGAACAAATTAACTAGAAAGCAATGTTTCCGCAAAAATAATGAAATAATGTTATATTACATTTTCATTCTACATCTTACGTCATAGAATATCATCGTGTTGTATTTTAGCAGCGTAATTTTTGTTACAATTTATCTACAATATGAGTCAGTTCACTAATTACACTAATTCTTCTTTCAAAACGGCAATTTTGTTAACAGCATTGCCAAAAATGGAATTAATATGACTTATTATATAATAGTGAACAGATTACACAAAAAATTTAGTTAATTTAATTATAATAGAAAGATACATAGAGATTAATTCTTATTAACAACGATTGATGGAGTTAACGTTGATGCCAATATATATATATTTTGTGTAATGTATTAAAATCAATGATACTTCATCAATTCATGACATCTCGTCATGAAATAAAATAGTAATGCATACAAATCGTATTATTATTACGATATATATATTTATATATATAGCGATAGAAAATAAGACATCATAGGTTTTTGGTTCGTTCCTCCCTGATAATATAATATAAATAGGATATCCGCTATTTTCATTTCGAAATTCTATCATTACTATTATTTTCTCACGTATTTTTCAATAATTAGACTTTTTGCGGAATCACTATTCACAAGTATGGATTGACTGAAAGCACAGAGATAAAGGAAATTTAAGTTTTATAAGTTTTATAAAATTATAAATTTTAATGTTTATTTTCTTTTATGTTAATAACAACATAATTGTAGAAAATGATTGAAAAAAGATTGAAGAAGGAATCAAAATGTTTGAACAAATTTATGATATATGCTATGTATTGTATCAACGTGAATTTTCTATTAGATATCAATTTAAATAGTCATAAATTGAAACATATAAATAATAAATATTATATTATAGCTAAAATGTAGATTTGATAATTGATTTTGTTAATTAAATTAATGTATTAATTATAAGATATGAATATATTTTTTTAAGAGTATTATACATATAAAAATATTTAGTTAACTTAGTATTAGATTAGTGAAATATAATCAAAGACAAATACAATAATTATTATTAATATCATCATATTATTATAATTATTTTATTTCTTGAAAATTGATTTTCTTATTAAAATTTAAAAAGTAAAATGGAAGAGATGAGACTCAATTCATAAATGATTTTAAAAAAAATAAAAAAATATAAAAATGTTGTTCGATTTAGCATGTTTTAATATGTATTACAAAATAATTAATTCCAGATTCCAATTTCAAGGACATGTCATGCATCTTGTATATTCTTTCCCAATCTTCCTATAATTTTAAGCCGGTTTTCTTACTATGAATAATATTACAGCACCAATACAAATAACAGATAATTTTATGATATTTTCGTTGCTATTTTAAACAAGATCACTATTTAACTTTCGAAATTTATAAATGTTTTATAAATTTAAATCAAAGATTAACAAATATTTTATGCTCCTAAAATTTATGTAAATAATTCATTTTTAGAAAATATTTTTTCAATAATTTTGTATTTGTTAATATTTATTATAAATTAATATAATTGTTAATTTATTGTAATTTGATATCGTCTAATTAATTTTATTTTGGATGAATCTCTCATCGATTTTAATAATATTGAAATATGTTATAAAAATGAATATTTTAAACAATTTTTTTTAATAAGATGGATAATTTAATTTTAAAAATTACAAAAAATTTTCGATGTTATACATTGAATTGTTTATATTTATATATATATGTACATCTATGCTTATACCATTGACTATTTATTAATTATTTATATAAATATTTATTAATATTTATTAATTATTTATACATTACAGTATATAACATTATTATATAAACATATTACAGAATTAATCCAAAATAATATGAACTGTTCATATTTTATCTTTAGAGAACTTGAATAGGATTTTAAATGAATCTTACGGATTCGCGAAATACAAAAATAAAATATGAAATGATCTTTGCATGAAATTGCTATGATAGAATTATTATCTCATAAATGATGTAATATCATTATCAGTTTTATTATTGCTATATTCTGTCGCATAAACTAGGATGTATAAAAGAAATAATATTGAAAATTAAGATCGAATTTTATCTTACGCTTTATAATATATTAGTTCATCTTATTTTCAAAATATTATCAATTTTATGAAATTATATTTTAGAATAACATTTATATATGAAATAAATAATATTAAAACATCAAAGTAATTTTTAATTTAATTAATTATATTATATTTAGCAATATGTGATATTATTTAGAAAATTACAATCGTCTTTGATTTCGATGATTTTTAAATATGTTATAAAAATTAATTTTAAATAAATTTTAAATAAATAATTTTTTCTACACATGTAATCACCGTTTGGTAATAGTTTTTGAGATATTTGTAAAAAATAATTATTATTATTACATAGAATTTCATCTATTTATTACACATGCATCTGTGAAAATATATCAACATATGATTACCGGTTAATTGTTTATATAAATATATCATAGCGATTGATACTCCAAAAAAAATATATAATACTATTATATTTAGTATTAATACAGCGATTGATATAGCGCGCTTAAAAGTGATATTACAATAATAAATTTACAATATTAAGTATAATACTTATATTGTTAACTCTAGTGATTTCAATTGATTCAAGAATTGTTTTATATTTGAAAATCTAGTATATAGGTTTAGATTAAGATGCCTTACTCTTATTAAAATCCATAAAAAAGTTTTTTAATTGGTTCACCCATTAGATATACTTTTATGTATATTTATAGATATATTTTTGGACGCTAGCCGATATCTCTGTGCTTATAGGTATATAATAGAGCTAAAAATAATAGATAAATAATGGTCGTATATTAACACACAGGGAAATATAACATATATGGATTTATACATATAAACAAAAATTCAATATAATAGTAACAATTTTTTCTTGGATATCTTGGAAATTAAAAGAATCTAATATTTTGTGAAAGAAAAAAAGTCAAAATCGATTTCTATTAAAATATTAAAAAATTATTGAAATTGAAGATTATCTCATTTTAAATAATTAATATATATATTTGTATCATATTATTTTTATTATTTTAAAAAATAATAGTTTTAATATATTTATACATATGTTTTAATATATTTATATACATCTTTGCTTTTTTTTTATTACAGAACGATACACATACCAATGATGCGCGAATTTTAATTAGTTATCGAAAACAAAAGAATTTGCCAATTCAAAAGGAAGAAAAAAGGATAGAATTCTTAGTACTGTATTTTAGACATGCAATATTGATGTGAATTGTGTTTCAAAACGAACGCAGCGACACTCGTGGAAAGAAACACACCAATCGTAGTTTATCGAACGATGACCACTTCTGCACAATGTTCTCCGACCAAGTCGTCTTTAAGTTGTTGTCAAATCGATCACAACAGCCACGGTGACGTACACGAAGTTGCAATTGCCGCAAAGGATGGTTATTTCATTCAAGACAAATATTTCTTTCCAAAAAGGCCCGAAGTGGACGTTACTTTTTGCGACATTCGTTTTACAGTGAAAGAATGGAGTTTTCGAAACTTGAAATCAAGTAAGTTCATATTATGTATTTAATTCATATTATTTTATTTTGTTGAAAAGAATATATAAATTAAAACAGAATATATAAAAAAGACAGTTGTTATAGAGATAATTCAAGAATCTTTTTAATATTTTAGAAATCAATTAATAGTTATTACTAATCAAAAATTACTAGATTTGAAATGTTAGAGCGTTAGAAGGAATAATTAAAACTAAGAAAAGTTTAGATAATCTTATTTATTAAATCTAATTATGATTATAAATTAATGTAAATTAAATAATTATTGCACTATTATATCGATATACTTCATTTATAAGTATATTGTTTTTTTTGTCATCAATTAATATATTTTATTTATAATAATAACATGACATATAATAAAAAGATATATAGGCCATTTAAAATTATAACTATTCGTTAAATTTATAAAAATTGTAAAAAATGTATTTTAAAATTAAAAATATATAAAAAATTAGTATGTATATCTTACAGATATATATTTCAAAATTATCTTTTAGGCTATTTTTTAGGTTAGATTAAAAGGATAAATTCAAATTCTCAAAATATTATTAATGTCCTAACATTTATATATTATGCTTTTCTTCCATAAATATTATGGTGTAAATTTATATTTTAAAGTAATAATCTTTAATAATATTTTAAATAAACGCTAATTATCTATAAAATATCATTTACATATTTTATAATTTTTACATTTTATAATTTTATTTCTCATAAATATATGTAAACTTGTCTTAATACCAAGAATATTGCATTACGATGATATATTTATTATCTTGTCTTTGCACTAAAAAAAAAAAATTTTCCTAACATATTTATGTGAAAGCATTATTTGCTCCATTATAAAATATGTAGTGACGATTGAATTCTCTTAAAAGAGAATAGATACAAACGAAACTAGGTCAAATAAGGTTCGTCACGAATATATATACATAGAAATAAACATCATGACAATGCATAGTTATTAATAAAATTTGCTTAAATACTATTAATCATGTATTTCATTACAGTTTATCGAATTGCATCACGAAAAGAATATCATAATCAATATGTAACAAAAAAATATATTCGAAATATCAAAGTAGATTTACATTAGATTCACTATCGATAATTCAATATTAAATGCATTCATACGTACGAAATAACTATTGAACCTGATTGATATTATTCTATTCTATTCTATTTCTATAAAATAATAAATTTAAAAGAATTTTTTATTGAAAATAGTAAGAGTTAAAAAATTTTATGAAAATTTAATTTTTTTTGCAAAAGTAAAAATAAAAAAATAAGGAAGATAATAAAAAGAAAAAAAGAACAAAAAAAAATAATGATAATAATATTTTATTTTTATATAATATTTTTGAATAATTATCATTTATTAACTATCGAAAAATATACATATATATGAGATATAATGCGATAAGTGGATGCACACACTTGTCAAAATTTGCAGATAAATCAAAAATTAAAATCGACCGCCTATACAAATATATGAATATTTGTATAGGATTGTAAAATGATGTTCAAAAAATATTTCAGATTCATATTTTTTTATAATTAACTTTTATACTATTTATTTAACAAAATTACAAAAATACTAATTCTAATTATTTTGTAGAAAATTTTATAAAATTACTATATTTGTGATATGAAAAAAATTTTATTTTAAATTTATGTTTTTTTCAATATATTGAACAATATGATTGTTTCTTGTATTTTATGTAGTTTTTTTTCACGATTTCTTTTTTTTTGATATACACAATGTACTCATAAATGTATATAGAGAAAAAAAAACAAAAAGTACATTGAAAGAATAGAATTTAGATTTTAATTTACTATTTTAAACTACATTTATTTGTGAAATGTTATCGCTTTCTAATGGAATTATTACATTTTAAAAAACAAATTTGATCCTTTAAAATCTGAATTTTCTTGTGTATTAACTCATCATCTAATATTAACAAATTGACAAATTACAAATTAACTATAGGTTATAAATTTTTCTTTCATAATTTTACAATTTATTTTTTAATTGAGCAAAAAAGATTAGCAATTTATAATTTATAACATAATTCAATTATGCAATTGGATTTTGAAAAAGCTTCCATTTTATTCACTATACAAATTTTGAAATAGATTATTTAGATTATAATATTCGATGAAAGCTTAGTCGATTGGAACTTGAAATTGATCACGCGTACATTTCTCCACATTTTAGAGCATTAAATATCGTTCGTGATGTTAAGAGAAAGTGGTCTTGAAATAATCCCGAGAATAGCAAAGAAAGTTTAAATGGAGAAAGTCGCATTAGGTATTTTGAAAGATCTCATCATTATTAAAAGTTGACAAAAAGGATTAGTGTATAATAAATCGAAAAAAAATAATGATCGAAAGGTCGTTACTATCACTCTTACTTGTGAATATTCTTATCTAACATATCAGTAGTATGATATTATTTTATTAATTATTTTTTTGAATCAATAAAAAGCATGATTTTGAAAAATTCAAAAGTTATTTTATAATTAAAAATGATATATATAAATTTTTATAAAATTGATATATTTAAAATTTATATTCATGATTATATTCGTTCATAACGATTTTTTGTATTATTTATAAATTAATAAAGATATTTCACTAGTTTCAGACTTTAATAATAATAATTGCTAACATGTCTAACAATTTTTATAAATTGAATTTAGCACTTAAATAATTCCTAGCCTTAAAATTGAAACTATGCAAATTTGCATGTAAATTTTTTCGATGTTAATAGATTTTTTTCGATGTTAATAGATTTTTTTCGATGTTTCATTAAAATTCTTTTCAACACAAATAACTATTATCGTAAAATTTAACATTATATTATTAGTCTATTATGCATAAAGTTTTAATTATAATACTATAATAAATTAAATATACGATATTAAACTATATTATATTATATTACGAAATATAATTTTAAACTTTATATATTATATTAATAATATCATTATTAATCATTTGATATATTTTTCATAAATCATAATTGTATTAAATATCGTACTTCATATTCAAAACTTGTATAGTAACAAAATAGTAATAAAAAAAAAAAAATGACGTATTGCTGAACAGTCTTTGTTTAAAGCATATCGGACATTGTCATATAAAATATGCGCTATTGTCATTCACGGAAGTACTGTCGTCATGCATTTATCGATTTCTAAATTGAATGACATTATTCTGAGTACGGTTGAATGTTATTCATAATATTTAGAAAATATATTATTATTTATTTTCAAATAATATGCAAATAAATAATATATATGTGGTATAATAATATAATATGTACTAGATACTAAATTTTAATATAATCCGATATTTCAATTAAGAAGATTAGATTAATTATTTAATCATTTTTTATCTTCAAAATAAATTTAATTTAACATGAAATTAATTATGATATACATGTGTTTATCAATTTACTTCGTAAGCTTGTTTAATGATAGAAAAAGTAATTTTGTTTCGAAGAAATAGTATTATGATAGTATTATGAATAATATATAGAATATCTGTGGAATAATTTTTGAGATTCAGTTTTATAGGCTAAAATAAACACAAAAATACATAAAAATATTTATTTATTAAGTTAAAAGAAATTTGAATTTGCAATAAATAAAATAAGACGAAAATAGACAATGATATGTATAATCGAAACAAAACACTCTTCATTTTATTCTTAATGCAAATTTCAATTGTTTAATAAATAATAATATTAATTGACATTTCTATATAATAACAATTTTTGTATTCATTTTGATTTCTAGTATCGATCTTTTTTTTCCATGAATATATTAAATTTCAGACAGATGATTTAAGATTACGTGTAATGAATGCAAGATCAATTTGAAATAAATAATAATAAAAAATTCTTTTCTCACACTTTTAAGAAAAATATTTTAGTTTCAAATATCATATATATATATATAACGATAATGTTTATTATGTTGAAAAACATAAAATTTTTATTTACGATGTATCAAATCTGAATTCGAATTAATTTGCTTCATAATATAATTTGAGATCACCGATAATTCTAGTTAACTTGTTGAAGAAGTGTTTCAATCTTATTTGTTTATTTAAAATAAAAGACGAATACTTATAAAGATTAATACCCTGTATAAAAATATTCTCAGGGAATTCCAAGCAACTGATGACTCGCAAGCTGTGTATGTATTCTTCTTCTGAATCATTCTTTTCTCAGAATCACTCCTTAGAGTAAAAAAAAAAGTAAAAAAAAGGTTATAATAATTATATATTCATATAAAATAAAACATGATGGAGGAATATGGAATGGTTATTAGTGAAGGAATCGACATACTAGTAAGGATTTATTTTATTATTAAAGTTTTATAGTATCATATAAGTTAATAGATAAGTTTTAATTTCAGATATTAAATTAAATATAAATATATATTTTATATTTCATAAATATTAGATATTATATAATATTAGATATAGAAATTATATATTAGAAATTATTATTTTATTTTGAAATTTAAAAAAAAAAACAATCTTAAAAATAATTTTGTTATTCCTTTTCTCTTAATGTGAACGTATAATTTGAGAATATATATTTATATGTTATTTAGCAATATTGATATATATATATATAAATTATGAACGAAACTGGTTATTATATAAAAACATATCTATATTTTGATAAAAATTAAAGTTCAAAAAAAGCAAGAAATATAGTTTTCATTGAAAAACTCTGAGTTATTATAAATTAATACTTTCGATTCTTTTACAATTTTTAAGAAATTCTTTTGTTCCCTCGTATAATTTATGTAAATATATTCGTGAAATACATTTAGAAGAACGATTTTAGAAGCTAAAATAAATACAAAAGTTAATATACAAAAATATTGATTAAAGTTCATTTATTAAATTATATAAACAACTAAACTTGCGTTAGATAAAATGAAGCAAAAATAAATCATAAATATCAATATTTTATAATTATACGATGTTTGATATATTGGATAACAATCAATGTTAATTGTATCGACATATTTTCATATTCTTATCATAAATATCGATTTTTTATTAATGATATTTGATATGATAATTGAATATGTTAATTGTAAATCAATCTCAGTTGTATTAAACATCTCATTCTACATTTTTTATCTTTTTTTTGCCTTTTTTATTTATTGAACAAAGTATAAACAAAAAACTATTTTTCGTTCAACAAGTCGAGTCAATAATGATAAATAAAAAATGCTCTTGTAAAGCATATGAATCAATAAGTAGTTACATGTTAATTAGCAAATAATTTAACTAACTCTTTGTTTGAAGAATATTTTCATCGATTCAAAATATTATTATTGATTTTCATGTCATTAATGCACCACGATGCATATATTAATAAATGTTAATATGTTTTTTCTAGATTGAGATAATGATGCTGCGATGAAATAAATCAAAATTAATTTTAATAGAAGATTAGGTTTTAACAATATAGGTATTAATAATCCGCTTAAATCTTCAGTATTATTTTATTGAAGTTGTTCTACTTAAAGTCTTACAGACTTAATGCTATTGAAGTTGATCCTATTTTGTACTTTATTGCTTTGTTTAGTTTCATTTCATTTGATATAACTTCTAATTATATGTAATCGAGAAAAATTCATTTGGAAAATATTTTAATGATTAAAATCTAATTTCTATCAATATTTATGTAGATTTTTATGCAAATTATGCATATTTTTCATGTTTTGCATATTTTACATGATCGATAAATGTATATTTCTAAATATAAATGAATATTTTCTTTTGATATTAATTTTTTTTATATACATATTTATAATAATTGAATATTATAAATAAATTTAATTATATTTTGAATGAAACTTTTAATCACGATATAATATAAAAGAATTGGAAAAATTCTGAATTTATAAAAACAGTAAAAGAATATCTGATATGATATTAAAATAATAATATATTACACGATGTCTCGTATAATAATTTCATTTTCAATAAATAATAGTAATTTTTCTAGAGAATTAGAAAATTTTTATATAATATTATAATTTTAAATTGATAAATCTGTATAATAAAAATATAATATAATAAAAATCTATATAATAAATATAATAAAATTACTGCATTTTGTAAGTACTAAATTTGACATATATTTTGAATAATTTGAAATTTTTTTCAAATAAATAAAATATCTGATCATGTTTTAGCTGTAAAAAAAATTTATTTTTATTGAATAATAAATCTTATTATTTTATTTTAATCAAATTAAAATTAAGATCTTAAAATTACATTATTATACAATTACTTTAATTCAAAGATAATAACTTTTTTTTCAAATATAGTTCAAAAAAATTATATATTATATATGTTTTATATTGTATGTATATTTTAAAAAATGTATTTTTTCTTGTTCCAGAAACCAAAGACATTCTACACGGGGTCAGTGGAGAGTTCAGAGCCGGCGAACTAGTCGCTATAATGGGTCCCTCTGGAGCCGGAAAATCTACTTTATTGAATGTTTTAGCTGGTTACACGTGCGTATTTCTTAAATATTTAAAAAGTATAAAGCAAAGTCATTTATTGTAAAATTACGATTATTGTTTATTGGTATTTTTTCACATGAATATATAACATAATAATTCATGTCATTATTTTATATCCCATATCGATTGTATAAATATTAATAATTTTAACATTTATACATATTTAATTATTTTCATTACTGCAATATTTAATTAAAATACACACCAGAAGATGCGATCATATTGAATATATATAAATAATATTCTATAATAGAAGACATATTATATATAGTATTTTATTTTTTTTATCTTACAATAAATGAATATTATGAAACTGTTTTTTTTCATTAAATTAAAATGCTGTTACGAACGATTCTACTTTAGTATAGAAAATAAAGAAAATTTAAAATTTAAATGTAATAAATTAAATTTATAATATATACACACATACACGTATATATGTATATATATATATATATATTTGCATGCTCTTATACTTGAAACTATATTCAAAATATGTATATATGAATGTATGTATGTATATATATGTACACATACGCGCATGTGCATTAATTTATACTATAATGAATGAATGTTATATTAAAAATTTTAAAATGGCTTAGTTAAAACTTTTAATCTCATTGCCTAAGCAAATAGTAAATGCGATATGGCAGTATATATATTGCTGAGCAATCTTCTTACTTTATTTCCTTTATTACATCTCTCATTCTATCTAATATAAATTAAAATTGCTTATAATTTAAAAAATAAACTTCAACAAATATTTTTCTAACAATCCAAAAATATGTTATAAGTATCATTAATATTTATTATTTTTATACTTTCTTTTATACTTTAAATTATATTTATACTATGATCATTATTTTTTTATGGTTTATATTAAGAATTATATATTTATATATATATAAATAATAATAATAACAGACATATTTTTTTTATTCAATCTATCTTATATTCTAAATCCAAATTATTTATTTTTTAAGTATTATTTATTATATAAATATTCTATAAGATGTTAATGTAATGTAACATTTATAGAGAACTAATTTTAGAAGCCAACAACAAATAAAATGTTGATATGTAAAAATTTCACTTGAGATTTATTTATTAAATTATAAATATTTTAAGTTTAAGTTTGCGTTAGATAAATAAAAAAAAAGATAAAGAATGAAACTTCTAAAGTTTTAAATAGAGTTGTTTTATTGTATTTTCGTCTCACTTTAATGTAAATATTTAAATTGCTTATAATTTAATAATTAATTATATAATTATAATTTAATAATTAAGCGACATTTTTATATATTAACTTTTATTTTATTTTACTTTTATTTATTTTTAGAAGCAATCTTTCATATTTCATGAATATATTAATATTTCATAGATGTTTAAATAGATTCAAAAAAAATTTCAAACATCCATGAATTATAAACAAATAAAAATATTTATACTTTTATATAAAAAAAGAATTTTTTTAATAATAAAATTATTTTTATATAAATTTTTTTTACATAAAGAAAAGAATATGTATGAAAGAAAACATGATTTGTAACATAGTCTAATATTTTATAGCCAGGGTTCTTGTATAATATGTATATGATCAAAGTAAGAGGAAGTATCATTTAATTAAGCATTTCTTGATATAATACAAAAATTTTTATGACATTAATAATTATTGATGGTTAATGATTAATTTACTATTCTGAAATAAATAACTTTTAATCCTAGTATAATATTATAATAATATATATATAATATATAATAATATATTATAATAAAATAATATTGCAAAATTTAAAATGAAAAAAATATTTTGTATAATGATCTAAAGATTTAATAATATTAATAATGCAATTGATTTATTTAAAAATAAAATAATATTTCAGAGTAAAAGGAGTCCAGGGTAAGATTCTAATAAATGGAAAAGTTAGAGTACCGTATAGTGAGAGGTGGAAGAGGACTTCATGCTACATACAACAGGAATCCTTGATGAGAATAAGGATTACTGTGGGAGAAGCTATGACATTAGCTGCACATTTAAAACTTGGCTACAGTATCAGTTCAGCTTATAAGCACACTCAAGTTTGTATCTATAATATAAATAATTTACTTTATAAATACGTAATATTTTCACGAATCAATATTTTCATTTTCGTAAATAAAATATCATATTGCATATTTATATATATATATAAATAATGTTATTATTTTTACTTATTTAACAGTAAAATAATTTATATAAAAATTATTTAATATAAAAATATAAGAAATCTACAAAATATGATATTAATAATAATATATTTTTCTATTATAAACTCTTGCAATTGCCTTTTGTAAAAATTATCTAAATTAATTGAATATAAATTTTATTTAATAATTATTTAATAATTATTTTTAATTTAATAATTTAATAACTATTATTGTTTAAAATAATGATACATATCATAATGAATAATATTATTTGTATTATCAGGTCTTGGAATTATTAGAAATGTTAGGTTTGAGTCATTGTTATGATACTTTATGTGGAAAACTGTCCGGTGGACAGAAAAAGCGACTGGATATTGCTCTGGAACTTTTAAGTAATCCTTCAGTATTATTCCTTGATGAGCCAACAACTGGTAATTATAACAAACAAATTTTAATTAATATCGCGCTTCATAGATTAGAATAAATTTTTATATAATCCATACATAGTGTATGGAAAAATATTTATAAAAACTATTATTATATTTATAAAAATTGATAGTTACATAATAATTATTTTTTAATAATAATTTGCTAATGAAATATTTAATAAAATTTTGTTTGTCTAAAGTTAATATTTTATCATAATTCATTTTTTAAAATAATAATCAATATCCATAATATATAAATTGAAATATAATGAAGTATAATATTTTATTATTTTAACATTAAATTATATTACGAAAAAAGAGAAAAATAAAAAAAAATCAATAATTAAAAATTATATATTTGAAATATAATACTGATGATCAATTGATGCTTTTTAAATTCTATTAGAAGTCGTATCATAGATTGCTTGGAACATTTCGTCAAGGCCCCTACTTAATATGATACAAGTGCTTTACAATAGCAATTCATGATACACAATTTCCATTTTATTTTAATCCCAATCATTTTATTTTAATTTTTTTATTATATGTTTTTTATTTTATATGTTAACTGTTCCTTTATTAATATTTAAAATAGTAAAAATATGTATATTTTAAAAGATTGTAAAATATATTAGAAATATTAAGCAGAAGTATTAAAAATAAAAAACTTATTCAATTAATTATATTTTTTTATAGTATACAGTATACAGATAGAAATAGAACAAATTTTTATTCTTATTGTCAAAGTTATATAAAGATAATACATAAATACGTTATAACGTATGTAATAACGTTCACAATGACTAATTTGTATTTTGCTGCATCACTGTCAGTAATGTATATTAAACTATAGTCATATAGGAATTGTTCTCGTGACTCAGAGAATATTCAATTATATTATGTTCAAATTATTAAACTCTTTCTTTTTTTTATTAAAATTTTTATAATCTTTTTTTTAATCAATATGAAAAGAAATATAAAAATTCTTTTATAGATTTAATATAATAAAAATAATCTTTTGAATTTTTTTAATTTTTTTTTATTTTAGGTTTGGATTCATCCTCGTGTAGTCAGTGTATCGCATTATTGAAACGTCTCGCTAATATAGAAAGGCGTACAGTAATATGCACGATACACCAACCAAGTGCATTGCTCTTAGAAATGTTTGATGCTATTTATGCGGTTGCTGATGGATATTGTATATATAAAGGCCCGGTAAAATCTTTATTACCTCATATGTCCTCGATTGGAATTGATTGCCCACCTTACCATAATCCTGCTGATTTTCGTACGTAGATTGATATTGTATTCATTTAATTTTCATGTTAATTGAAATATATATACTAATCAGATTAAATGATAACATTTAAGGTGTTTTTTTAAATCATTGTTAGTGCTATTATTAAATACATTATTTTAAAATTATTATGTATATAGCAAAAAAAAATATAATTATTAAATTGTTAGAAACATAATTATATAGTTGTTTTCGATGATACAAATCAATAAAGATGAATCTAAAAAAATAAATTGAAAATATAGAATAAAATTTTTTTTTTATTGAATTTCATTTCCAAATAATTTATAATATTAAAAATATAATACAATATATAAAACAATATTAAAGATTCGTATATTTGCATGTATTTAACTTTATAGATTAGTTTTTGTTGCTTTTTTCCATATATGAATTTTATCAATATCATGACTTATTATTATTTCCAAGTGAAATTTTTAGTCTTTATCGTAATATATAATAAAAAAAATATAATGTCCCGCTAAATGCATTAATATGTGATTATTATACTAATTATTATATTATTCGTCAATATTTTGATAGAATAATGATTGAAAGAATAAAGAAAGTTTATTGTAAAACATTTTAGATTTTTTGATGTGTTTTGCCAACATGATAGTTGTTTTCGATCAATCATAAGAAATGGGAAAAAAATCAAATTTTATAATATATAAAAGAAAATCTTAGAATTAGTTAATAAGATATTTTAAGTTATTAGATATAATAATCTAAAATAAAAATTGTTTCTTGACTATCTTTCCAGATACTATACATATATATATATTGTAATATTAATAGAATAATAGAAATTGAAAATTTGATTTGGAAATAATAATAATGATATTAATAAAGTTTATATATATATAAATACAACAAAAATTAATCTAAATAGTATAGACAAATTTACATTTATTTAATAAATTTTCAATATCAATTTGAAAATATTTGAAAATAAATTCATTTTTGTATGAAAAAATATCATTCTAGTTTTCGATTTATATTTCATATAGATTTATCTTTTTATGATTTGTACTACCAATTTCATAATATATAACAATATATAAATATTTATAAAAGAATATTATTTTATATTTATTTTGTCATCTAAATTTATACTTTTTTAGGCAGTATCACACAACTTTTGATAATATTTATTTATAGCATAGAGAGAGATATTTTAATGATATTGAATAAATAACTTGATTTATTTAAAATTCTACAGTGCTAATTAAATTACAATAGAATTTTTTTTTATGTTTATTATTACAGTTTTAGAAGTTGCAATTGGTGATTATAATATTACCGTGGACAAATTAGCGGCTGCCATGGATACGATATGCAAGAATGACAAAACCGTTATTTATACGATGAAACCACAGTTAGACGGTAATTGCAATGTTTTCTTATTCATTTATCTTTTTAGATTTCTCTTAATATAACTGTACATATCTATGAAATTTCTAAAGTTCTATTATACCTACTTTCTACTATAACTAGTTATTAGTGTTATTATATTATATTAATTATAATATAAAAATTAAAAAGCATTGAAATTCATTTTATCGTTATAATTCATTTAATTTTATAAAAAATATTTAATATATATTATTATTACGACTTTTTGTCAGTATAGAAAGCATGAAAGAACCACCTCCATCAGCGGGATTCATTGCTCAGTGTTATTTACTTTACAAAAGACAATTACTTTGTCTTAAAAGGGATTATACATTATTAGTAGTACGTCTATTGTGTCATTTGTTAATTGGAATAATCTTTGGCTATCTGTACATGGGAAGTGGTTATAGAGCCAACGGTGTACTTGCTAATTATGTTTATCTCTACGGATCGTTATTACTTATTGTATATACGGGTAAAATGGCTGTCACACTTGCTTGTAAGTATTTATTTATTTAATTATTTATTCATTCAATATTGTATTATAAAATATATTAATTGTTTTTAACATAGAACTTTTCATCATAATAATATATTAAAATATATTGGTATATAATGGGTATCATCGAATATATAATGGACATTACACGAACTAAGAACTAAAAACTTTCTCTTACGATTCACTTTCTCGAGTTGTTCCTCCATTATTTTCTTTTTTATTATTTTATATAGTTCATTTAATTTTAATGATCTCTTTAATGATAGTAGATCATAAAAAATTTTTTATATTAATTTTATTTTGTTTTTTTTAAATTGATATTTATTCAATATTTTATTTCTTAATATTTTAATTATAAAAAAATTGCATTGTATCAAAAAAAAAAATAGGATATCAATTTTCACGATTTAATTTTCCTTTATATTATTATCATTTCGCACCATTGGTAGAAAATGTAGGTCAAGGAACTTGGTATGTAGTTGTATTTCAGACTGAATAATAATACAAAGAAGAGTTAATAGTATCTCTAGACATTCACTCCCGTAAGCCAAATGCATTTTATTCGTTTATTGAAGCATTGCTGTATATTTGTATCATATATTTCTTTTTTTATAAAAGATGTTAATAATTCATTATTTTTATAATTTATCTAAATTATTTCCATAAATGGTTATTATTGCTTTAATTAATTTTTTTTTCCTTTTAGAAAATTTTTTCAAGAAGAATTCGCTGTAAATTTTGTTTTATATATTTTATATATTATATAAAAATGGAAACAAATTTATATTTAATAATATAACGATTTTGAAATTCAGATTATTTTATTTCATATTTTGTGCTATGCTAATATAATTTTCATAGTTTAAAAAGAGAAAAATATATAATATATAAAAATATATACATATATATGTATATAAAATATATAATGACTTATATATATAAATATATATATATATATAAAATGACTATTTTATGTATAATATTTTATGTATGTATAAAGTAAAATTAAAATTGCAGGCACAAAATTCTGTTTAAATGTTAAAAAAAAACTTTTTATTTAAAATTAATTTTTAATTTTATATTTAATATTTATATACATAAAAAAATGAAAATACGATAAATAATTAAAAAAAATTGAATATTTTTAGTTCCATTGGAAATGCGGATATTAACAAGGGAGCATTTCAACCGGTGGTATCGGTTAGCACCATATTATATTAGTATGCTACTAGTGGAAATACCTTTCCAGGCATCTTGTGCAGCAACCTATTTGGTTGTAAGTTATTGGTTAACAGGACAACCTGTAGAAACTCCTCGTATAATTTCTTTTATGGTTGTCAGTATAGCTGCTAGTTTGACGGCACAAGCATGGGGTTTCTTTATTGGTGCAACTACACCTGTTAATGTACGTATATTTTTTAAATCATTTATCATGATTTTAGAATATCTAATTATGAAATGTATGAAAATAGAATGTAATTATAATAGCAATATGAAATATTCTATGTTCTATATAAATAATTCATGAAATAAATATATGAATAAAATATTAATTTTTTCAATAATGTATGTTATTGTAGGTTATTACGCAAATATAAATGCGCATAAATTAAAATACTATCGATTTTTCAGAATATATTATATATTTTGTTTTAATAAATGATTCATTTATTATACAATTTTATTTTTTTAATTAATAATGATATATGATAGATAAACATATAAATTACAAAATATAAATAAAAAAATTTATAAATTTATTAATTAATTATATAAATATATTCTAAACATTGCATAATTGCAATAATTCTTTTAAATTAATAAATATTAAAAATTATTTTATTGGATAATTATTAGAAAGAAAAAAAGACAATATAATTTGTATATTTTTGTCACTTAATATTTAATAAAAATATTTTATTTATATTATATTATGATACTAAAATATTTATTAAAAAAATATTAACTTTTGTTTAAAAAGAAAATTATAATTCAATTTTTTTTTCTTTCTAGATTGCAGTATTTGCAGGACCCATAATTGCAGTGCTATTTTCCGTATTTGGATTTTGTATTCGTTACATAGATACGCCGCAAATGTTTCGATGGATGTTTTATATATCATACTTTCGTGCCAGCTTTCACAGTCTCTTACACACTGTCTATGGTTTTGACCGAATGGACTTGAAATGTGACGATTTCTATTGTCATTATAAAAAACCAACACAATTTCTCAAAGAGATGGAAATTGCTGATACAAGTGTTGCAAACAATCTTATTTTAATACTTGGTATTGGCGTATTAATGCATTTGTTAACTGCTAGTGCTCTATGGTGTAAACTTAATAGAAGATAAACATTATTTCTAATTTTGGTGATCCACTATTGCCCAGCAATTATGGCTTACTTACTGTGACAATGGTGCTAAAAGAAGTTCTTTTGGAACTTCTTAGATATGGATTAATAAAATTTATATTTTTATTTATACTTACCTTGATGAAAAAACTTTAGAATTTTTTAAAATTTTTTATTGAATCTTGATAATTAATAATAATTCTTATACTGTACTTATGAATTATGGAAAGGTTTTTGTTGAAGTTAATATTGGAAACATGCACATATTTAATTTGTGATGGCAATATATAAACTTAATTAAATAACATAGAATTTCTAATTCAAATTTATTATTACATATTTTTTTATGATTACATATTATTTCATAATTACTGCATCAATTAATTTATTATATATTTTTTTTATCAAATACATTTTATATATTTGAAACTTTTATAAGAAACGAGTCACGAAAGCTTTAAGATATTCGTGATATTTGATGTACATTTAGTTATTATATAAATATATATGTAATGTACATATGCAATAATTAGAAAGAAACTTATTTTCTTATCACATTTTTATAGATTACAATATTATTATCTAATAACATTTATCATTGCATTGTTGCAATGTCATCAATTTAAAATATTAATTATAAATTGATTTAATTATTTAATTATTGATCAATATGGAACTGATATTGAAATAAATATATTAAAATTTTATTGTAAAAAGTGATATTATAAATAATACTATTTAATATTAAAAAATTATTTATATTTTATATTTATTACAAATATGATGATGTCAATAAGCAATGATTTAAAAAAAAAATTTCACTTATTATTTATAACAAACTAAAAAAATTGTTAAATTAATTAAAAAAAATTCATGTTTCTTTATTTTTAATATAATGGATATAATTACTTACTGTGATAAATATTTTCATAATTTTAAATAATTAATATTCTTTAATATAATTTTATATAAATTAAAAAAATTAGAATTATCTAAAATATCTTTAGGATTGTTTTATAAAATCTATCTTGATAATTTAAAAAAATCTGATTGGAAAATATATTAATAATTTTTATCTTTATCGTTTTGAAATTGAAAGTTTAAATTATATTTTAAATTATGTTATTTCAATTTTCTATTATACTAATTGTAGATAAATCATTTTGCTTAGAGAGATAAATCATTACACATTTGATATTATAAGTATGAAATAAAATTCATCAAAATCAATCAAAATAACAAATTTTATCCAAACTGATTCACTAAATTGATTAATGAATATTTATTCTAAAATTATAACTGTTACAATTATTACAAATTACAGCATTAAATACATTATTATTAGATTTTCTAATTAAAGATAAAACTAACTTAAAAAAAAGAAGTAAATAAAAATCTATGAATTCGTATTCTACATTTATAATAATGGTAATTTAAAAAGAAAAATAACTATTTTATATATTCAGTTTTTATTATATTTTGTATCCAATTTGTTTCTACATTCGGATACATAGTTAATTTTTTCTTTCATTAATATCATATACAGATATAATGCTAATACAATTCCCCCAACCTATTTCAGTGGATAGTTATTATAAAGTGGCCGGGGAAGAAAATAATTTTTTTTTCGCATAAATTAAACAAAATTAAGTTACAACTAAAGCTCGTTTCACGCGCACGCACGTACATATCTTTGTTTTCGGGATTAAATAAAATTTGTAAGAAACAAATATCAAGAGATCATATAAACTAACTCAAATAACTAATTTTTTTTAAATTAAATATACATATAAATATATATATATATATTAATATTTAATAAACACTGTGTTGTGTTCACATATTATACTCAATTATGAATACAAATCAACGAAACAAAAAAATGAACGATATATAGAATTAGAAACATATCTTTATAACTAACGAAATGGCGCGAATATATTAGTTTTGATATTGGTAAAGAATTAAATTTAGATGTCTAATACACATATTTCTTTGTTTTAAAAATTTTCATTTAACAATTTTATAATGAACACATAATTGAGTACTATAATTTATCAGCGATTCTTATTCTTAGAAAAAAAAAAAAAACGAAGAAGGATTTACAACTCTCCACATTAAAGGGATCAATAGTTGTCAGAGATTGAAATGCAATGAAATTTCATAATTAAAATTTAATTAACTTTAAAAATAAATTTGCAAATAATTAATTTCACTTTATTAAATATTTAAATAATTAATAAAAATACGTCATAGATTTTGGTGAAAAATACATATATATATTTATAAACATGTAAAAATTTTACATGAAACAGTAAATTATATGAAATTTTACTAATTTTAGTATAATTTGCTAAACTTTTCATTATAATAATTATATATCTTTATACAAATTTTTATTTATATAAATTTTATAGAATATAAAATGATAATTTAAGAAAAATTATGAAATATACAACTATTGAACCCTTTTAAAAATGGTTTATTTATGCTTTTGATAATGTATTATGATTTAACATGATTTTTATTGAGAAATACGCAATGTAAATCTCCAAAGTGTTCATTTTAGACGCTTATTCATAGAACAAAGTAAAAAATGTTTTTAAATTACATATGTGGGATTCATTGTTTAAAAACATCTCATATCTTATTCACATTCTGTAAATATATACAGAACTATATTGCATAAATTTTATTTCTATTCTTTTTTGATCCTTATTATTTGTTGAATATTTTGTTTTTAATAATTTTAACAATTCCTCGAATTTGATAAATTGTTCTAACTGCGTGTAAATACAAGGAATAAGATAACGCTTCATTCATTTCGTATGAAGAAAATCTTGAATTTGAATTTTTAATTATGTGATAAATAGTTAAAAATTCGTACTTAATTATAACCACAGAAAAGAGACGTAATCTGTAACACCGTAATTTCATTAATACTTTTTTCTCGTCGAGACATTGTAACATTTATATTAAATTTGTTTTTGTAAATTGAATCAAGATTTTAATACTCATTACGAGCATGTTTAACAAATAATGGTACATTTAAAAACAAAGAGATATATAAATATACCAATAAAAATGTCGATAAGTTAAAAAATTAAAAAAGCAAAGAAAACAAAAGAAAACAGAACGAAATAAAAAGAAATAAGATAAGAAATGAAAATGAAGAGAAAATGAAGAAAAATAAAAACCTGTTCATTTGGTCCATTTTAAAACGCATACAAGTTTAGAAAAAATCAAATTATTAGATACAATTATTTGTATATATTATGTACAGTAATTTAATATTATTTGTCTCTATCGATTATTTACAACGAACCGTATATAATTTTTTTTTAATCACAATATTTCGACGGTTTCACCTTTCTTTGCGCCTCCGATTCATCCTCTGTCCCATATAGATGATACCGGTGCTTCATTTCGGTCGCAACAGACTTAATGAAATCATTTAAAATAATAAAAAGTCAACACAAATTCATGATAAATAAATCAATAATAAAAATGCATTAAAAAAAAAAGTAAGGTGAATCATGTAAAGAAAAATCCTATTCCTCAAAATCCTATTAAAAAATTTTTCACGCAAACAGATTAATTTATCACTAAACTCACCAAACGTGAACGAACTCTTTTTGGCATATCTTCTTGTAAGCTATAAATCTCATTTCGTTTTAATACGAGTTGCGAACCATCTTCGAAAATTACCTAAAAAATATAGTTATAATTTAAAAATTAATCTATAATTATATAATTAATTAATTTATATATAAGTGCAATAATATTAATAATAATAACAATATTAAAATATTAATATATTATTGTAAGATACTTACAGTATACATGATTCGGTGATTTGTACCTTCAAAGATACCATTGTATAAGTTTCCATCTGTCCATTTTACAACGACTGCAGCACCTTGTTGCGGTGGATTTCCAGGATCATAGTTCTACATAGAATAATAAAAATATTTGTACACATTTTTAAATGAAAAAAAAAAAACATCCATATATATACTTACTGTAATATCTGATGGATATAAATCTTCGCTAAAACTATCATCACTAAACGTAACCATGTAAAACAAAGTATCATGTATGGAATCTACTTTTGCTTTATAATATCGCGTATTACGATGTTTTGCCCATACAATTTCTCCTTGTCGAATCGTCGGTATCTTTTCTTTTCCATCACCATGCCCATCACATGTTATCTACATAATAATCTTTGTTATAATTTTAATATAATTTAATGTATAATTGAATTTTATGTAAATCCTTTTTAAAATACCTGAAGTTCTGGTGAATTGTATACAGGTATTGTAAATGTAGCACCAGAAACAAGTCCACAAGACGGATGAAATAGATTATTACACTGATTACAATTAAGACATGCTCCATCTTTCTGCCCGCAATAACAACATTGTTGCTTAACATTATTTGGTTTGATGGTTAATACATTAATAGGATCCTTATTTATGGCATCCTTAAAAGTTACACCTGGTAATAGAAGAGCGCACAATATGTGTGCCCAATTACTATCGCTGGTTCGCTTAAGAGCTCCCCCTCGCATAGGACACAAACAACACATCTATATTATATAATAATGAAAATTAATCAAAAAATTTATTAAAAATAAAAAAATAAAATATACAAAAATAATTTTATATATACGTACCACTTGTGTTTTACCAGCCTTGCACTTATCACAAGCCCAATTTCGTAGATCTGTAGGTAATACGGTGATTCCATAACAGGAGGCATGAACCGTGACGTGACACTCTCTACAACGTAAAAGCTTATCATTTTCCGGTTCAACGATTTGTTCCTTTGAATTTGCAACGAATACATTCGCAGATACCTAAAAAATACGTTTCAATAAAATTTCTTCTGAAAATCTATCATTTTAATTGAAAATAAATATTATTTACCCATATTGGTGAACTTTCTGGTAAAACAGTAGGTTTACAATATTTCCAATCTGGTGGCATTAATCTGCCATGTCCATTACAACTCGAGGTAAACGGAGCGCAGATTGCACAGTGAGAAATTTGAGCACTCCAATAATCATTGAATGCCTTTAATAACTCATTATTCGGAACACTAGGATACAACATGTCGGATATATGTCCTGGTACCA